CAAGAGGCCCCAAGTAGAATGCGACAAAGCCAAAGCGTGGGTGAGTATGCAGGCCAGACTAGTCTTGGCAACTACGGTTTAGGGGGCCAATTTGACTGAGGTACCACTCTAGCAAGAGGGCGCTAATGGGATATGGACTGCTTCCTATATTTCACAGATATTTGGTGACAAGGACCTCCACCTTGATAGCGAGACCCAAGAGCCCCCTAATCTTGAACAGTGTTCCTTTTATCTATAGGTATGTATAGCGCTAAAAAATTTGGATGCGGTCTGGGAGGGCACCCAGAAACCTAAGCTGTCTAAACATAAATTAGGAGGATTTAGGCCCTCTAGGGTGTTCTTATATGTTGTTGAATTGGACCGCTATATGTGGGATAAGCATGTATTTCAGAGATATTTACTCCGCTATATTGTACTCTGAGCCATTGTGTAGACAATTTTTAGCATAACTTTTCTATTATTCGTATTAATTTTGTACGATTATATCAATGTTTCATATATTAATATTTTTATGAATTTTTCGGAGATTTTCCCATCTTTTAAGAGATTTCTTGAGCCCATGGTGGACTTGGGCACTACTAGCACGAGTCCAAGTGGACTCACCCAACTTACTAGGCTTAGGTAAGGGCCTAGTCCCGAGCCCAGACTGAGTTTTTGCACACTGGTTTCAAAAGGAACTAATACTACTTTATAACCCAAAATATCTCGATCATTTGACAAATCTAATTTATGGCTGCATTAGGAGAAACTGGTATCTTAATGAGATTTGCTAGTTAGAAATCCCTTAAAGTATTTAAGTTCTCAAGGTTAATTTCTCAAAAAGATTTTGAAGTGATTGATAATTGAGATCCAACTTGCCAGAAGAATCATTTCTGTAAACGATAATGACGACAAAATCGATTTGAATAATCACAAATATCCACAGTAACATATCGATGGCATTCAAATCATACGCAATCAACACCAAAATATTCAAAAGAGGCTTTTTGCCTGATTCAGTATATAAGTTGCTTTCGTAAAACTGCAGACAAGACTGGACTGAGTGTCCAATCCATAAAAATATTGCAATCCTAAACCCAGGAGGAGTGTGTATAAATATATGTATATATAGATAGATATATAAATACATCTCGAAGCTTGACAGGCAAGTAAGCATTCTTAACACCGGCATAGAATGAAGGTCATCACTTTGCAACAGTTACATATATAAAGCACAAAACCCAGAGCTTACTTAGACTCATGCTGTATTCTCTTCACTGCCAATCTTGCTTTTCTATCAGGCCATCAACTTTCGTCTTTTGAAATTCGTGACTTACCAATAATATGCTAGCCTATAGGCCTAAGAACAAATTCATAGTCCATGTTTTCTAATAAATATCAATCTCATACATATGGCTTTTCTCCAATAATCACGAAAGATTCTCCAATAATCACGAGAGATAAAATCCACAATTGGATGGGCTCATATAACAGACAAAAAGAGGAAATGAAATCTCCATTGGACGGTGAGGAGTTAAAACAGAAATAACATTTTCATCGGAATGACCAGCTTTACCAATGTGCAGCCGCACACTGAAAATTTCCATGTACATGAAGAGGGAAAGCATAATCAGTGGATAAAAATTTTCCATGGTTGAATTACTAGCATTCCTTCAATCAAAAAGAAGGATAGAGATATATTGAAGACAATAACTGAATGACAAGATGATCCTTTTTTTTAACAGAACTCACAGAAGATGAAACTTGAGAAGAAAGGCCAGGGGGTAGGGAAAATCTACCTAGAACTTGTATTTCAACTTTTCCTACCGTTAAGAATCATTAGAAAAAGGAGATCAACACTAAAAGAATTTTTTTTCTTTTTTTGAGGTAATTGACAAGATTTGATGTAACTTAAAATCAGCCACTCACTAATCTTTGATTACAAGATCCTAAAATTCGTTTGGGGAACACATTAAATTAAATTAAGGTTAAAATATCTACCAATTCAGTAGTTATTCAACAACAATAATGAATAAATAAACTTGTGAAAATCAACACACAATTTTTAGGAATTTATTTTAATGTCCTGGAGATGAGATTGCGGATCAATAATAGATTGGAGTCTGTCCTTAAATAAACTCAACCAAATAAAAGTTGAACCCCTGATCAAATTTTAGGATAGTCCACAGTTCGGAGACAAGAAGTGGATGTAGAATAACCTCAAATTACGTCTCGAAGGTCTTCACAACTAGTTTGATGGTTTCAAAGTTAATGGGGCGCAAAACAATTAGGGTTTTGATTTTGATGAAAATTAATCAACCCTAATTAATTGGGAAAAGGCTAAAATGATGATGATGATGATGATGATGACTTGTTATGAAAATTAGGAATGACATATTTCAAGGGATTTATTTAGGGTTAATTCTAGGCAGAGCCTAGGGGTTAATTTTAAGGTTTTAGGGGCTGTTCAGTGGGGAATGTTTGCTGGTTTTGAGGGTAAAAAGAGCAAGACAATTTAAAGAAACAAGATAAACCAAATAAAAGGCAAAGAGAGAAAATTTGATAAAGAAGGAAGAATACTAAGGAGTACAAAGAATGAAAGGAAGTAAAAAGGAAAAAAAAAAAAGATCAAAGAAGGGAAAGAAAGGAAAGAAAAGAAGTAAGAAGCGAAAGAAAAGAGGAAAGAAAGGAATGGAAAAGAAGTAAGAAGGAAAGAAAGGAAAGAAAAGAAGTAAGACGGGGGAAAGAAAGGAAAGAAAACGAAAAGAAAGGAACAAAAAGAAGTAAAAGAAAGGGAAAGAAAAACGTAAAGAAAGGAAAGAGAAAAAGAAGAAGGGAAAGAAAGGAAATAAGAAGAAAGAAATGACTAAAAGAGGAAAAAAGAAGAGAAGAAGAAATTGAAGAGTACTATTGGAAACGAGGGAACTTGGGAGGTGCTACCAAGCCTTTTCCATGGCATTCATTCAAAGAGCTCAAGAAGTCCTTTTTAGGGTTTTTTTCTTTCTTCACAAAATTCCCAAAATAAACATTCTAACGGCGATGTCCCTCTCCTTCCTTTCTATACAAAATTGCTTATAAAAAAATTGACTTAAAATACCCTTACCTAAAATAAAATAATAAAATAACCCAAAGTGCTCTGAATTCTCCACAACATGAAAAAGACATGGATAACCTAACATAATTGGAATAATTAGAAATCCAAATGGCCTTGTCTTCACTCCCCAAAACAAATTAAAATAAAATAAAACCCTTAATAAAATTAAAATAAATTGGTTCCATAGAAGGCTATAAAGCCCTCATCAAGATTTGTATGGCAAAAACCACTATATTATGTTGTTGGTTATAGGCTGAATTGTGTACATGAACAAGGTAAAATCCACACACTGTGGTGTATATCACAAAGAGAGAAAGAAAAAGACCCCCTTTAAATGTTCTTCCTTTTTTGGGGAGTCTACTGTTTCATTTCACTCCCTCCAAATATGTCTAGAATGAAGCATGTATTGTCCTAGCAATCTCCCAAATAATTAGCATTGCAAGAACCGACTCTCATAGAATTAGTGCCATAAACACCATAACATTCTTTTAATGTAATGTAAAACATTGGAAGTTCTCATTTCTTGTTGCATAATCAAAAGAGTAATAAGGTCAGCCCTAAGGAGACAATTAATCCAGGAAACTCCAAGAGTCCAATCACAGTGCAAATGAAGCTTGTAGCCAAAAACCTCAATTTCTCAAATGAAAACCCTGAAGGAGTTCGAGGACAAAATAAGAGTGCAAGGAGATGGCTTGGTTATCCGTTAAAATTATTAAATGTACAAAAGATAGCCACCATAGTAAAAGGTTAATTTCTATGCAAGTTAATCCATAACATGAACATCATAATTTTCCATGTTGGAGCATTGGGCACTCTAATTTGTTGCCATGTACGACAACAATACCTTAATGAATAATACCACTTAAAATAGCTCAAATCATGTACACTAAATTTCCAAGAACCGCAATATGAATAACTATTCACTTGGGTAGGGTATGGGCACAGCTTTTTATTTTAATTCTTTAAACTAAAATAGAATGAAAAAATACAGGAACAAGGGTCAGTTCAATAAACCTTGTTTTCAGTACATCAAATATAAAAACTACACATGTTTATTAGCAAAGATCTCAGGTATCTGCAACAGTCCCAATATATTGTTATAGATGTGTCTTTTATTTTACAAATCAAGGAACGTTTGTCCAATTTAGAGTTTTCTAATCCGAAACTGCCTAGGTGCTCAAACCTCTTGGAAAAATCTTGCATAACATAAGTTACGTATAAAAAATCTCTTGAATCATGAATCCTTTATGATGATTTTTCATAAAAACATGCATGCTGAACATTATAAGTGATGATAAGTTTCAACGAGTATGCATGTCTATTATCATGCTCTATAGAATATTATTATTCTATTAGTGAATAACACTGAAATTTATTTGTTATTATAATTTTGGGATCGTAAATAAGATCCTATACCAAAAGCTCTCAGAAACAATAATCTACATGCAATTTTTTAAGAAAAACCAGCGTCGAATTAATAGTTCAGCATGAGATTAGTCTTCTATGGGAGTGAACTACACAACTTTGTTTTCTCCTGCACAACATGCTCATTGCACCACAAAGCTTGCAAATTAAAGTATGTACCATATGTTACAGTAAACCTCCACAACATAGATCCTAGAGTATATGTCAAGATCCTATAGTTCGTCAAAGGTTTTTGGAAGTTTTCCAGGGAAATATTTTTTAATTTCATACCTGATAAACTCAACACTGAGAATTCCAAATATTTACCTAAAATCAAGAAACTAATCCATAACATAAATAATTAGACATTGATTAAAAAACAGCCATCACATAGGTGCTTGCTTAGTTATACTTCAAAGAATTGATTAAGAAGAAGATCAATCCGATGCATATCTTCAGGACTGCAAAATGCCTCAAGTTAACAAAGAAAACCAAAGTAAATATGAAGAATAAGCGAACGTACCTGAAGAAGCACAGGTGCATTTTGCACCAAATTCTCAGATGTAATATCCCTTCCCCAAGGCAGTGCACCAGCAACTTCCACTAAACACTCCTGTCAATACATGCAGAACTAATAAGCAAAATTCTAGTTAATTCCTGAAGTTAACTAATAGCCTCCATTGATATTACTTCTTAAAGGATTTAAATTTGTGATAATTTCAATGATGTTGTGAATGTGTAAACTGCACAAGATGCTTCTAGAGAACAACTTACATATTTTTTAGGATAAAAATATGACAATGTATTGCTTCTAGAGAACAACTTACATATTTTTTAGGATAAAAATATGACAATGTATTGTTACTCATAACATTTACTACTAAAACCGAGGATTTTAAAATTGCCACTTCAAACTTGAATCGTGAGATTCTTTTCAACCAGACTAGGTTGGTGATGCATTAGACAATCCTTCGACTAGTCAAGACAGTTCTCATGAGCCTTTTGACCCAATCAATCCATCATTTAACAACCTCCTTTATGATTATTCACATCCCAATGTCGCAAGGAGGGGAAGCCTGACTTTTTGAAGGAGTTTATTTTTAGTTTGCTCCTGTTTTTTATAGTCTCTTAGTGATTTCCAATATTTTAATTGAAGTTAGGAACAGTTTAGGGATCTTTTATGTTTTAATTTGATTGAGGGGACTTATGGGGTATTTTATAATGTTTTAACTTAAGCGAGGGTAATTTTTTGTCTTTTTTTATTCTGACAGACTGAAAGGACCCGGGGTGTTAGGGCGTCGAACACTTTTGAGGCGTAAACAATAAAAACAGGATGTGAACAGTAACACCACTATCTAGGGTTTAGGTTCTCTTTTTTGGGCAAGAAAAGCCAAGTCCACTCAAATCTGACCAACTTTTTTATTTATTTAACTGAGTTTGCCTTTTTTCATCTACTTTCCTGCACCAATTAGTATCAAACCCTAGGTTGTTTTTTCAAAAACAAAGCTGGGAATCCACATTCAAGTCTAGGGTTGGTTGATTTTAAGCTAATTTTTGCCAAATCAGTCTAAAACTTGCTGGTTTCAGCTATGTTTTGTTGGTTCTCTGCCTAAGGCTTGTGATTGTGGTGAACCTGTGGCAGCAAGAAGAGGTCGAGGCAGGGGTATTCATATGGATCCACCTCATGATGAGCAGGATCAGGAGATACAAGATCTGAGTCAAAAAGTTAAAGAACTTATAAGGCGGCTTGCAAGCATCGATCGTGGATGAAAATGAAGTTTCGTACATCCAAAACGATGTTGAGTACACCCCTTTATATGATCATGCTCCATGGGACGAGTTGAGTGAAGAGGAATATGATCAAAAGGGGGCACTCAAAATCCATAGATATTAAAGTAGAAATTCCCGCTTATGAAGGAAAGGCACAGCCCAACGACTTTATAGATTGGTTTACCATAGCAGGGAGGGTCTTTGATCATAAGGATGTTCCAGAGAATAAGAAGAATAAAATTACAGCCATTAAATTGAAAAAAAGTGCTTCGACATGGTGGGAACAGTTGAGAGCAAGGCGATAAAGGATGGGGTAAACCTAAATTTGTCACAAGAAAAAAGACGAAGGCAAAATATCTCCATAAAAATTATCTTTATATCAAAAAAAGTATGTATTGTGCCAAGGAGAGGTCAATGGAAGAATACAAAAATGAGTTTTACTTTTTAAGTGCCTACAATGATGCGATCGAGCAGGGGGAACAGTCCATTGGAAGGTATGTGAATGGAGTGCGCCAATCAATTCAAGATGTGGTAGCTTTGCAGCACATCTTGATGAGGTCTATAACCTTGCAAAGAAGGTTGAAACCCAGCAGAAATGACCCTCAAACATGTGGCATGTGGGTGCAAGTGATGGGGAAAATAGGGCAGCATCCCATGGTGGTGATTTTCGAAGAAAAGGCAACATGACAGGTGTTGGTTAGACATCTTGCATTACTGGAATGGCCAACCAGCAAGGTGCCCTGGACCAATACGGGGTTGTTTCGGGAGTCGAGCGACCCACAAAAAGGGTGGACGTAGCAACATCAAGTGCGACAAGTGTTCAGGCATCAGGCATATCTCATCAAAGTGCCCAATTTGCAAGTTCCTTAATCTTTCTGAGAAGTTTTATGATAAGGACAGCAAGCACTCTTTTGAAGGTGATTCCATCTATAATGAGCCGGTTGATAAAGAGAACCCGGAAGTAACCAATAGTGATCATGGGGAGGCCCTGGTGATCAGAGTAGCATGATTATGCCTTGGGAAGTCGGGTCACAGAGGAAAATGATTGGTTGCACACGAACATGTTTCATACACATTAAGGGAAAATGTGTAATCTAATCATCGATGGAGTGTGAAAATTAGTTCTTAAGAGATTGGTTGACAAGCTTTAGCTCAAGACGGAAAACCATCCAAAGCCTTATAAAATTGTGTGGTTTAAGAAGGTGCTGAGGTAACTGTTTCTAACTGATGTCTTCTTTCTTTTTCTATTGGAAAACACACAAAGAAGGAATATGGGGAGCAGTGCATATGGACGCCTACCATTTGTTGTGAGAGAGACCACGGCAGTATGACAGGTGTCCCACTCGTAATGTTTTCAAAAGCATTCATTCCTTTGTCAATGATTCTCTTAAGAGAGGTCTGTCTCCATTTCAGAGTTACATGGGTTGGGGGACACTTTGGGCAAGACAAAACCATTACACTAGTGGAGTCTTAAGTATTATTGGCCCAAAATTATGTGAGATGTGACTAAGCATGTGGAGAGTTGTAACGTGTGTCAAGTTGCAAAGGGACAGCACCAGAACACAAGTTTAGATTCTCCACCTCCTATTCCTAGTACACCATGAGAAGATGTTAGCGTGGACTTTGTGTTGGATCTTTCACGGACTCAACAAGGTGCGAACTCTATATTTGTTGTGGTTGACAGGCTTTCAAAGATGCCCCCCTTCATCGTGTGCAAGAAGACTCTAGATGCAACTCATGGCCACCTTATATTTCCATGAGGTGGTGGGACTTCATGCGATTGCCAAAAGGATTACATCAGATTGGGATACCAAGTTCCTCAGCCACTTTTGGGGAACTTCATGGTGCACGATGGGTACCAAGCTACAGTTTAGCAATAGTTATCATCCACAGGCTGATGGTCAAACGGAGGTGCTAAACTGAATCCTTGGTAACCTCCTTCAGAGCATAGTGGGTGACAAGAAGAGACACAATAGGACTTGGCATTGCCACAAGCCTTTCGCTTACAACAGTTACTACAGAAGGTCAACCGCTAAGAGCCTATTTGAGGTTGTATATGGGCGGAATCTTATTTATACTATGGACTTGACTCTACAGCTACTCAAGAAGTACACTTAGATGTTGACAATATGATCGAGCACATGAAGGATGCCCATAACGACATTCGAGCTAAGTTGGAGATAGCCACTACCAAGTGCAAGGAAGCTGCAGATAAACATAGGCGATTCAAAGAGTTTCAGGGGGGGTGATCTAGTGGTTATTTATCTACACAAAGATAGGCATCCTGTGGGCATATACAACATGCCGAATAACAGGAAGATCAGACCCTTTCGAGTGTTGAAGAAGATGGGTGGTAATGCCAATAAGATCAACCTTCCAGCTAAGGCTAAGACCTTGAATGTGTCAGGGCAGAATGGAGCGCAGTCTTAGGAAATGACATATGGCCTGAGAGCAACTTGATCCATCAATGTTACTGATATTTTCAAAACCACAGAACCGAGTAGCAATAGAAGAAGAGAAAAACTTGAAGTCGAATTCTCTCCAACCAGGGAAGAATGATGCATCTGATAGTCGTTAACTAGTCAACATAGTTCCCATGAGCCTTTTGACCCAATGAATCAATCCATTGACAACCCCCTTTATGATGATTAACATCCTAAGGTCACAAGGAGATCCAATAGGGGAAGGCCGGTTTTTTTAGGAAGTTTAGTTTTAGTTTGTTGCTATTTTGTACAGTTTCCTAGTGATTTCCAGTGTTCCAATTAAAGTTAGGGGCAATTTAGGAAACTTTTATGTTTTAATTTGAGTAAAAGGGGTTATGGGGTATTTTATAATGTTTTTAACTTAAGTAGGGGTAGTTTGTGTTTTTTTTTAATTATAATGTAATAAAATGGACTGGTGTATTCGGGTTTCTAAAATTTTGGGGTGTGACGATAAAAACAGGTTGGAATAGTAACATTAGGTCCTATCTAGAGTTTCAGGATTGCTTTTTTTATGCATAGAAAGCCAGATCGACTCAAATCTAGGTTGTTTTAATGGTTTATTGAACTATTTTTGCATCTTTCTCCACTTTCCTGTATTAGTTGGTGACCCAATTCCTCTATGGAATAGGAAATCGTAATCGTACTCATTCTCTCGTGTTTTTCTCTGCTTTCTCTCAAATTTGTGCATTTCAATGGTTTCTCATTGCTTCATACGATCCTTATCAAAAAGTTTAGTTCAAATTCCATATTCACGAAACTCAAAAGATCGAAATTCGGGGTTTCCCCCTATTCAGGAATGATTTTTTATTTTGAATCAGATTCTTGATTTTTTATTTTGAAATCAGAATTTGCTATTTTTTAAATTTTGAAACAGATTCTAGATTTTTCATTTTGAAATCAAATAAATTGGAGGCAAGTAAAACAGACATCCGCCATCTTTCGGTGGATTTTGGGCAGATTTGGATTCAGCCATTTTTGGATTATTTTGCGCCATTTCTTGAAAACAGATTCCTTAGTTGACTATATTTTGAAATCAAATGATATAGATCCGTTTTTTATTCAAATGATCTAAAACACTAATTTACTCCTTATCAAATTGATTGAAGAAAAAAACCAGGAATCAATTTAATCAGTGATTTAAACAACTCTTCAATCTGGATAGCTTGGTTTTTTGGACAGCTTTGATTAATTTAAATTTAATTAAACTGATTTCCTTAAAATATGATTCAAACAATCTTTGTTCAGTTTCATTTAAATCTGATTTTTGAACTTTTAGTTTTATTGAAAAATAACTGTTTAAATCAGATTTAAATGATTGCTTAAATTTTAAACAATCAATTATAATCATTTTAAACTTTAAAACTTTGAATCTGCTTTCTTTTATTTTTTTTCTTTTTTATTTTCCACTGGATCAGCGTGATTCATGAGCAGGATCGGAATCACCGAACTGACTTCATGCAGCGGGCGATCAATCCGTAACAAATTCAGGGTTTTTGAACTATGCTAAAGCCTGAAAATAAACATATTTCAAAACAATCCTTATAGAACCTCAAAATTTATGCATATCTGTAAAATATCTGTACAGCTCACAGCCACATTCATAGCAAAGGCTACACAAATGCATTTCTTAAATGGCTCATTTCAGTTTTCCAGAAATTGCATGATGTGAACAGAGATGAGTGAAATGTTTTGCTCAAAACAGATCAGTAGATGCACAGCACAGAAGTTCACAAAAGATATAGCTAAGTATACATATCTAATGGCTAAAATTACAAGTCCACATCTTAGTTGGTGAAACACACTACAGAAGATGGGCAATAGAAGAACCTGTAGTTCTTTATAGCGCTGAACACAAGTGCTAACCCTTGCACAGAGCACCTCAGATATCTGAGCTAATCCCACTTCAACCTGTTAGCAGCAAATAAGAGGTTTTAAATGTCCATTAACCAAATGGAGGAGAAAAAATCCACAATGTATTGGAAACACAAGAAAATCATGTACTGGATAATCATACAACACACATCGCGTATCTTATAAAGTAGAGATTCATGGAATCTAAGGTTACCGCAATATAAAGCATTTAGCAAATCCATCACTTTATGAGGAGTGAAAAACTCTCAGAACACAAGTAAACGCTTACCTTATAAACATTTGCAACAAATGCCAAGACAGCTGCAACCATCTGCATCACAGCAAAATATCAACATCACGTATCGCAATGAATACGCATAACTTCACAATCAAGTTGAACAGGAATGGTCAAATGGTACAAAGCAAACGACAAACTTGCTAGAAAAATTGTAACTAAGCTTTACAGAGGCTGTTACAGAAAACAGATGATTTGAAACGAAGGAAAGTGATCCAGAAGACTGCTTTTCGAACTGCACAAGCAGGCCATTATATGCATTGATTTGCTTTAGTGCATGGTTTCAATAAGAACAATGCAAGGGACCTAGCATTATATGGACTCATAAAATAATAATAGGGATTGAATATATGCTCTAGAACTAGCTTGCATGCAGAAATTCATCCCAAGGTAACAATGACACAAAAGATTCATTGATAAACAAGCTAAAGAGAAAAAGACTAACAAGAATAGGAACCCATGGACAGAAACAAATACCCTTAGTAGCATGGGTAGGCGCAAAAACAACATGATCCCTAGATCCCTAAAAACAATTGCCATTTTGGTCAAGAACCACAATACAAAGGACTTCTTTTTTTTTTTGATTGATGAAGTACATTTACAAAGGACTTAAACAATGGAATTATTCCAAAATAACATTCCCTCTGCATTTCCTACCTTCCATATCTTAAGAACCCTAGAATTATAGTGGGTTGGACTAGATGCGCTGCTCTGATACAATCCATACAACATTGATTTCAAACAGGCTTACTGAACACCTCTATGCTTTTCCCAAGCCCAGGGGAAGGAAGACTACCAAATTAGTTCCAATTAAATGTCCCATGGGTGAAAAACCAATAGGATGGGGCAGTTCCACCACAAAGAAATGTAGTTACATAGACAAGAAAGTTGAAAGTTGCCCACCTAGGGATGAGTTTTCACAACTAGCTGGGAAACCTAAGCTATCTCACCTAGATCCTAATGACCATTACAATGTTATATTCTGAAAAACATAAAACACAACAATCTCATTGATGCAAACTTGACAAAACAGTAGAATGATCCACAGTGATAAGCGTTACAAGCATCTTTCTTACAGGTAGGGGATGGCGTCCAGTGGTAAGGTACCACTTAACAGAATACTGCAGAAGAAGATGGCCATGCTTTATCAAGTTGTCCTTTTTCTCCTTAGAAATATCCTGCCATTACACAGTTATACATTTAAGAGTAATGCATGAACAGCTGAACAGGAGAGATCCACAAGCACTCCAAAGGTACACCAGAATTAATTAACAAAATACTTTCATGCATCCTGTACATTGACAAATAAAGACAAGTACCCATGCAATAGACACTAAGCAGAAGGCAGAAGGATAACATCTGAATGTTACAACAAATAATATAGAACTATTTTGTAAGAGAAAATGAAATCATCATGTGATGAGAAACTAATAATCGTGGCATCTGGTTTCCATAGATGTCAAGCACATATTTTTTTAGCTACAGTAGCAGGGGTTTGTGCTGGAACCCCACTGTTGTGTTAATATATATGAAATACTCAGAATAAGTAAGGAGTTAGTTTTTGTGTAATATCTACAGTGGACCTCACATCTCTCTTTATCACTCTATGTACATAATGATTTGCTCAGTAGCACTCGAGGTAAACTAATTCGCATTTCCCATCTTTCATTTATGAATTTTCCTCTTTCATTCCTTTGGGGGACAATTTTTGCTTACTGGATGCTATTTTAGATTTTCTATGTCATCTCCCTTAGTGTCCCTTGAATCATGTTATGATAATCTTCCTTAGCCTGGCGGTTTCTTTGAAGTGAGGGTGAAGCACTCCAAAGCTTGTCTAGGAACTTCTTTAAAACTTGTTTCGGAACCAATTTGTTAGAAAGTTTTGGATGTTTGAGCCAGCTATGGCTTTTGAATCTCCACATGATCTCTTTCCAAATTTCAGCCAAAAAGGTACATGTAATGAAGAGATAAGCATGATCTTCAATATCAACATTACATAAGAAGCATTGACTGCAACATGTGTCGTTAACTTCGATATGCTTCAGGTTACTCATCCAAAATCTTCAGATTTTACTCTATCACTGAAGCAGAGAGAAGAGATAAAAAATCGGTGGACTTTGTTGTTAAAAGCTTTGTACAAAAACTGTTTTAAAAGTTCGAAAAAGTTTATGGCTTACCATGTGTACTTGTGGATTAAACTATAATCTACATTAACATTGGTTCGCCACATGTGGGTACTTCTTTTAAAGAGGTAAAGACAAAAGAAGGAAAGAGGTAAAGAAAAAACAAAAGACTTTTCTATATCTTTAGAGAGAGAAATTGAGTGAAAACTGCACTCTCTCTAAACGAATAAAATCTTTAGAGGGAGAAAATGAGAGATAATTACATTCTCCCTCTAAAGAGAGAGAAGTGGGATGGGGAAGAGGAGATGATCATTCATGGAGATGTAATCAATGATCCTTTTTAAATATTTCATAGGGTTTGAAGCGATTAGCAGCTATGTCAGAAACTTGGTTTCTTTCCATTCAGAGCATCACAAAACAGACTGGTGAGCCAACCTATGAACCCACAGCTACAGTTGTTGAACATGCAGGGAGAATGATCAGAGGATATGGGTCATCACCTCTTGAGGAGTTCGATCTGTATTATATTGGCCATGTTGAAGGCCATACATTGAGGACTCTGTATTATATTGGCCATGTTGAAGGCCATACATTGAGGACTTAACCAAATAAGAAACAGAGAGAGAGGGAGTGAGTGAGAAAGGGGGGTTCAGGAGTCTTATTTGCAAAAGGGAGAGAGAGAGAGAGAGAGTGGGTTCACGGTGGAGGAAGAGGGGCATTTCCTCACTAGATGTGTTCCAAGGCTTTAGCCAACCCCAAATAGTTGGCATAATGCTTGGACGATGATGATGATGAGGGGTTCCAGGTCTTTGGACCAAGGGAACATTGTTCCAAAGGAAAGGGGTAATTTTATAATTCAGAGAGGAAAAAAATAGTAGCAGGGAGCTTAATGTCCTCTTCTTAAAACTTGAAGAGGGTCCACGGACTTCTCACAAACCCGAGCGTTTATTTGGCACCAGAGTGCAGGTTGGGGGGCGCGGAACATGTGTTAAGGAACACCCTTGATTACACACCCACACGTACACACTAACACGTGCACATTGTTAGTTCCACCTTGTTAGTGCAAATTCATATCATAAAGGAATGACGGTTTGGGTATTTGAAGAGTTTTAGATAAGTGGATTTGCAGATATGGTGAAGCGTGGGATGGTATATAGAAGTAAGCATTTGGTAGCAAATACAGTATTTCTGAGCTCAATCGAGGGGATATGGAGATGGGTAGGTTGAAAGGTCTTGGTATAATAAGCACCGTAAAGCTATCAAAATCATGGAAGAAGAGGGGGTAGAGTTAGAATTTAGTCATATTTAGGATTCACTTCCAAGTCTTTTGTGGATAATTACAGGTCAACATAAAAATCTCTATTTGCTTTGAATAGAGAGTGTATGGGGCTTTGAATAATTAGGACCTTGAGGATCTCAATGTCTTGATGGGCAACTTAATCCCGAAATTAGGAAATAATAGGAGGATTTGGATCTGGGACAATGTTGGTATTTTCTCAACTTGGTGTTTTAAGAAAGTCATGTTTGTTGTGGCACTTAGCAAAACTGGTGTTTGGTTTGAAGTACTCCAATTGATGGGCTTAGACAAGATTCTCATCAAGGATCATTTAATACACAGATGACCCAAAATCCTCAAAAGTATACAAGAGTGCAGAGAGGACATGATAAAAGTGGACCATCACCTTGCTCTGCATCTTTGCAAGATCTACGAGTTTTTCTTTAAATCTTTTTCTAGTAAATTAGATCATGTCAAACACCAGCTTTGATCAGCTTTTGTGTAGATCATCTTTTTCTAGTAATGAAGTGCTTGTTTCAAGCCCCCAAATCTTGACGTTTGAGAATAAGAATTTTATTTCTCATTGAAGATCTATAAGGAGTTCCATAGAATTAGAGTGGAAAATCTTCCTAAGGATTGGCAGCAATCATGTTCACTGCTCCTCCAGCATCTTCACCAAAGGTGCACTGCAATGTTTATTCCCTGACTGGGTTATCAGGAATCGCATTGACAGAAACTCACTAAGGAATGAATTGCCTTATTGGGTGGTATCCTTCATAACTAGTGACATTTTGAGGGCTTCCTAAGGTCCTTTAGATGTTTGACATGCTAACATGTTACTGCAACAAATGATGCCTTTCTTCTTGTACTCCAAAATTGTCATGCAATACAAGAAGGTAAATTGGCACCACATTTTGTCTTGGCCATGCAGGGAAAGATTTTTGAGATTTGGATAAAAAAAAACATACTATCTACTGAGGGAAGCCAACAAGGTGGATATTATTTGACCGCATTAGTCGTATGCAACCAGTCCTTGTCATCATTGATCTCATTTGTCCCCTCTTTGACTACAGGAATTTACTTTTTGTTAATCTTATTGCGCTTATTTGCTTTTTGAACTTTTAAATGCGATGAAAAGTTGTTAATAATCAAATTTTTATAATTAAAACAAAAAAAAAAGGAATCTCACAGCCCACTGAAATAACATTACTGCAAAATAGCATAATACAGTTCATGATGCCTACTCCTATGGTAAAATGGTGCAATACTACAAATGACAAGGATGCATTTGCTATAACAAAGTTTTTCCATTTTACATGAAGTGGCACAAAACATCAGCAGTAAAGACAAGTCCATATTGAAGTCAAAAGTCAGAACTGCCAAGTTGACAATAACTAAATGCATGTACACAAAGAGAAAATAGACAGTAAAGATAAACCAGATTGAAGTTAAAACAGGGATGTCAAAAGGAATAAATGCTTACAGAAAGAATATCTAAAGTTTGGACGGCATGGTTGAATGATGAAATAATGTCCACACCAGGCTGCATCAAAACATTATCAGATCTATTGAGAGATCGAAACAGAAGAGAAATCTAATTCTCATATAACAATAGGAAGTTGCAGCTAAAAGGCATTTGTTTATGCTACCTACACGAACATGCAAAAAAATCACAAAACAAAAGGAAAAACAGGTACCAATAGTCAAGAGTTAGAAGACAAAGATTTAAAAACCGCAGAAAAAAGGGAAAATATCTCCATATCCCCTATTTTTAAGTTTCATTCCTTGATAAACCCAAGGTTTCAAAAAATATCTTCTACCCTCTGGACACTTTATACCTATTTTTTAACCTAAACAAATGTGAGAAAGACATGTCATTTCTAAACCCAATCCTTTCTTTATCTTCACTTATATACCCCAAACTTCTCTCTTTCTCTCTTCCTACGTCTCTCTCACTCTCTCTCTCCTCCAATGTTTCTCCAAACACCTCTCTCTCCGCTCCCGATAACCTCTCACCTCCATGAAGCCCTTCTCTCTCTCTCTCTCTCTCTCTCTCTCTCTCTCTCTCTCTAGAAGTTTGGGAGGATGGCTTTTAGAAAAGACATGTTTTTTTTAGATTTGTTTGGCCTAAAAAAACAAGCTTAAATTAGCTCAAGGGGTTAGAAGAAATAAAATCTACAATTTTAATGCCCCAAGATATCTTTCAAAACCTTAAGTCTATTGTGAAATGAAACTTAAAAATAAAGGGTATGGAGATATTTTTCCAAGAAAAAATTCTAATGAGCTTAGCCCACAGAGTGTGTCCCGGTTGTAACACACGAGTGTCAACATGTCAATTTCAAAATCTGATCTTTCATATCTATTTGCTTAATTTTCAAATCTAGAGGATACCCTTCAAATGTTGATATTTTTTAAGTCTTTTAAGAATAAGATTTGCCAAAGTTTTTCGTAACTCTCTTTTTTCTGGCATACCCTAAAGGGTAAGGTTTTATTCTAATGACCTCTGGCTTGTTACCATCAGCAAGTGCCACAAAACTTGTTTGATAATCCTGGAGAAAAAATTACTATTGCGAAATTAACAAGAAGTAACAACTTGGCATGGTTCAGTCAGCCACCATCTTCCTCAGGCTAGAACAAGCTTGGATCTGCCAATGGGAAAATTTAGAAACCTGGTCGACTTGATCACGAATTCAGTGTATGGGATGTCAAAAGCTCTATAGTCAAGAGACCCTATTTTTCTTACATATAGCTTCTGAATTTGGATGGAGAAGCAATTTGCTGTATCAAATGGCATCAAGATATGATAAAACTGCAAAACAAGGAGACAGAACACTAGGCGACTATTTTAGTGACTTAAGAGGCAATGTGGGATGAATTGGCATATCATTTCCTCCAACTGTTGACATCTCTACCCAATGGACCTAAGAAGAGTATCATCGTATTTTTGAGCTCCTACCAGGGGTTGAAAATGAATATGAGACTATTAGCAACCATATCCTTGGTCAAGAGAAGTTGCGCTCCCTTAATTTAGTCTCTCATATTCCCAAAGGATGAAAAACATGGGTAGATGAGCCCATGCTAGGCAATTATTTCTGATTAATTTCCCAATAGCAGTTTGTTCTGGATTATCAAACTAATTTGTGGCACTTGCAGATTGATGCTACTGAAAGCACCACTACAGGAGATATCTTTGCTGCCCGTGGTAACAAACTAGAAGGCATCTGCATAAAATATATCCTTTTAAGGTGTGATAGAAGGGAAAGAAAAGATAGATTCGAAAAACTTCACATAAGCATATTCTCAAAAGGATAAGTAAGTGTCAAAATTTGAAGGGATAATGCAAATATGAAAATTCGGTAAGTAAAAATGAAAAATCAGCAAGCATCATCCAGATCTGAAAAATCAGCGAGTATATATTTCAAGACTTTGCTGAAGAATCATATTTGGGAGTCGTACCACGGTCCAACAAATGTCCGATAAACAATAGAATGGAATAAATCTCATATAATACAAATAAGAGTCCAAGAGATGCCAATAAGAGATTCCAAAAATGTAGGCTCGGGCAAATGTTTGATGAAAGCCTTGGCACTTAAGAGGAGGAATCAAAATCTGTCCAGCAATGAAACCTAGAGACAGTTTATCTTTGGTCTAACTTGGTTGATCTTTGACAGCTGATGAAGCAATTTGAATCGGGAGGATGAATCATAACTCATCTATATAGATGAAGAAATCGACATATTGAGGTGTTGCTACAATAGCATGTTAATATGGTTTAGGGATTAAGCAGAGAAAGAAGAAACAAAAGAATGGAGTGGGCCAAAATTAAGGCCACATATATCTACAAGTCTTGCTTTACAATCATATCCTTGGACAAATAGATGATTACATGAAAGGTCCACGGTGTGACATCTAAGTCTATGTCTTTTGTATATAACATCAATATACAAAAAAAGAGGTTAATATAGAGAAAGGATGCTCAGATACAATCTACAATAAATGTTGGGCATCCCCTAGGCACCTGGGAGGGTCAAGGGAGGCCAGTGCCTAGGCAGGTGCACAGAAGTGTGATATATACACATATATGCATATATTTGTTGTCCACACACACACACACACACACATATATATATATATATATATATATATATATATAAACATAAATGTTGAAACACATTCAAATCACTGAAAATTTTGATTCTTTGAATAACTGAAATAGTGAAAAACAAGACATGTCCATATTGTACTAGTGATTTAGTGTCCATACTACATAATCCATAGCCCATAGGCCCAATAGACTCCAAGTCTCCAATAAGACCAAATGAACAATACAAGATGAGGGAATACAAAAGAAAAGAAAGTGGAGATCTTCAAGTTTTCTATGTTTTAGATGTCTGATCTTCAATGTTTCAGTAGCCTATCAAGCTCAAAATCACCCAAAAGTCTTCTAATAACCTCACTTGGACCTTAAAGATGATTGAAATAAGATATTGTAAGATTTTGGATGATTCTACAAACTTTTCAAAATCCAGTACTAGATCTAGCTATCCCAGGGTATCTACTTGATTCAAAAAAATTGCAAAATCGATCAACTTTGGGTGTTTCTAGGGCATAGGAAGAGATTTTCTTTTCCCCCTTTACTTTGGGGGTTAGCATACCCCCTTTCCCCCTGCTTTTCATGGGTCAAAATGACCCAAAATGCCCCCACAAAAGGTTTTTCTGCCATCTTTATGGAGGTTCCTGGGCGCCCACCCAGGTGGGCTCTTGGGACTTTCCACACAGGAAGGCGGCCTGCCTAGGCCTAGATAAGGCGGCACCTAGATGCTGAGTTGGTTGTTTCTTGTATATATGTGTGTAAAAGAAACAAGAAAGCAGTCATTATTTAACTAGACAACATTCAAACATAAATCCCATATCATCATTGCAATATTATTTTTGGCTTTATGATAATTAACATCATCATCGTCAAAAATGTTTTTCAACTAATTGGGATCGGCTACACAAATCATGGTCCGTCATTCTGCTCTTCTGCTCTATTACCCTCAGTGAGGCCATAAGTCCCCATATCTTTTCTCATTATTTCCATCCATGTTCTTTTGGGCCTACCCCTTGCACGTTTTGAGCCTTCCACTTGAATTAATTCGCACCTCCTAACAGTGTTGTACGAGGTCTGCACCACACATGGCTAGCCAACCTAAGTCTACTCTCTCTCATCTTATCGCCTATTGATGCCACACGTAAATTTTTTCAAATGTATTCATTTTGAATTCTATCCCTTCCTCATCTGTACTCCTATTATTACTAAACTTGCATTCCATATACTTTGTCTTACTCCGACTAATTTGAAAACCTTTAGATCAAAGCATCCCTCTCTAAACTTTGTGTTGACGTCGTTTCGGGTCTCATCGATCAAACTATGTCATCTACGAGCAACATGCACCACGTTACCTCATCTTATAGGTGTTTAGTTAAGTCGTCCATAACTAAGAGAAAGAGGTATGGGCTCAACGCTGACCCCTGAGGTAGACCTATTATCACCGAACGCTCATCTCTCCATTAGTAATTCGTACACTAGTTGGCGCTCGATCATACATATCTCTCACCAAGTCGATGTAGTATCTAGAGACTCCTTTCCTTTCCAACACCCACCAAATCAAATGTCGATGTAAACAATCATAGGCTTTCTCTCGATTACTAGAGATCATGTGGAGGTATTCCCTTCGCCCTAAACTTCTCAATAAGTCGCTTACGTAGGTAAGTAGCCTCGATTACTGACCTCTCTGGCATAAAACTAAATCAGTTTTTTGATACACTCGTTTCATACCTTAGTCCTAAAGCCTTTCCCATCTTCATCCTTTTTAAAGCTTCTTTCACTACTGATATCCTAATGTTGTGAATGTATCTATGACCTCCACCCTCATTTATGCAAACGGTTTCTTCTATCGATATGTTCCCATTGTGTTCGTCATTCAGCAATTTTTTAAAATAAACACTCCAGCTTCTGTTGACCTCTTCATCCTTCACCAAGACCCTGATCCTCACTCTTAATGCATTTTTTAGAATTAATATAAGGAATCTAATAATAAGATACATCTAGTTGCACAAAGTGCAGACAAACAGAATCAGCATTTTTGCATGATTTGTTTAGAAAAAAAAAACAATAAATAAAGAATTTATCAAATGCATATCCATAATAGTATATAAACGCACACATGTCCACATGCACACACAAAGACACATAAATATGTGCATGCATATATACTATATAGAGTTGTAGCCTATAGATGTGAAATTTGTCCAATTCACATGAAACAAGCCAGGTGTAAAAGGAGATTGCTCATTCCAACATACTATGGGAAGACAATTCACCAAAACAAAAATAATAAAAACTCTTCCCTTGAGATATTTTTTGTAGCCTCATAAAACAAAAAAGCTTTTCCATGAAGTAAGCAAAACTCAAAATATGTTCCATGACACAACATCGCATACAACGGTTGCATGAATATTTGGCCTGAAAAAGTAAACATAAATGTTATGAAATACTAACCAGTTGCAGATCCAAAAACTTCCGAACTTTGATGTACATTCTCCCCAACTCATCAACATCACAATTTGAGGCTGCCTGCAACAACAAATAAAATACCATGTGCGCAAAATTGAAGTCAATAAGAGAAAATTCAATAATCATTCTACAAAGTGATCAAGAAAACCATGAATAACATAATGTATAAACACCAACAACAAGACAACAACAGCACATCTGTTGGTCAAGAAAAACCCACTTAGCAAAAAAAGATATAAAAAAGTTATGATTCATGCCCAAAAGGAGTTTCGAGGTAAATAACTCATCAAGAAAAAAAGGTTGCAAGGTTTGGTCCATCGTACAAAGTTAAACAAAGATACTAGAAGAAACATAAAATCCACCAGGAACTACTAAAATCTTACTTTGGTGAAAAAAAAGGTCACAAGATACCAAGTACCATTTAAAAAATGACCAACTACATACCGCAATCTTTGTCATAGTGAAGGGTAGCTTTTTTTGGCGGGCTACCACACAAACACAGGCACCAATAAGCACAGAAAACCATCTTCCCAAACCCCATTCCCCATCCGTGATACTTTCTACCATCTCTTTCACATCACGGACTCTTGCTTCTGATAGTCCAAGGACAGAACTGATTCCATCAAGAGCCTTTTTAGCATGAGCCTGACATAAGGTAAACAACATCAAGATTTATACTAGGTTCACGACTTAGACGGCCATTACTTCATAATCAATCAAATAGTTATATCTATAAACCAAGCCAAACCAAGCCCAAAAACAATCATTTGAAACTACTAGGAAATCAATAAGGCAAAACCAGTAAACCTTACTGCCAAATAATGAAAATTCGCCATTTCAAGAAGAGTAAAGGCGATTTTTGGAGTAAAGTTACTCCCTTAAATCCAAATAACCAAATGACAGCTATCCATTGCAAGAAGAAAATAAAGAAACAATTCTTACCTTCTTTTGATCTTTGTAATTGTATTCTCCTTTAATATGGATTCGACGACCATTAATTACAGCGCTGAAATAAGTGGGGCGATTCACTGATGGTCCAAAGCTTCTCTGATTTTCTCCATAACCTTCGGAAGGTGACACAAAATTGGTACCATCATGCTCTAACCCACAAGAATTGCACACCAGTGTCCCGGTGAAGGGATCTTGTATGATACTTCTTTTTCGACATTTTCGACAAAGGCCAGAATCCTCCATAATGGTTGAAGATATCAGCAATTACACATCGTTTGGACAGATGCGTGCCTGGTTACTGCAACATCCTGAGAAAAAAGTAAACATATAAAAAAAGAGATCAATTTAACAGTGATTTGAGCTTTTACATCTCTATCTTGCGTATTGGGTTATGAATCTCTACTCTAGCGCTAAGAAATAATGTCAGGTGAAAGGACAGTAATATATGAGAAGCCCAGGCGCATAAGCGTATAAGTCCAAGATTACATACCCATTGAATGAAGAAATTTATTAAACTGAACTTAAATAACCTGGTATAAATCATATCTAGACTCTGAAAATTACTTCAAAGGCGAAGACGGGTCAAAGCATTTTCTAAGGTTATGGAGAAAATTAGAGAAGCTTTGGATCATCAGTGAATCGCCCCACTTATTTTAACGCAATAATTAATGGTCTTCGAATCCATATTAATGGAGAATACAATTACAAAGATCAAAAGAAGGTAAGAATTATTACTTTCTTTTCTTCTTCCAATGGATAGTTGTCATTTGGATTTAAGGTAGTAACTTTACTCCAAAAATCTCTTTATTCTTCTTGAAATGGCGAATTCTCATTATTTGGCAATAAGGTTTACTAGTTTTGCCTTATTGATTTCCTAGTAGTTTCAAATGATTGTTTTTGCGCTTGGTTTACAGATATAACTATTTGATTGATTATGAAGTAATGGCCGTCTAAGTCTTGAACCTAGTATAAATCTTGATGTTGTTTACCTTATGTCAGGCTCATGCTAAAAAGGCTCTTGATGGAATCAGTTCTGTCCTTGGACTATCAGAAGCAAGAGTCCGTGATGTGAAAGAGATGGTAGAAAGTATCACGGATGGGGAATGGGGTTTGGGAAGATGGTTTTCTGTGCTTATTGGTGCCTGTGTTTGTGTGGTAGCCCGCCAGAAAAAGCTACCCTTCACTATGACAAAGATTGCGGTATGTAGTTCGTCATTTCTTAAATGGTATTTGGTATCTAGTGACCTTTTTTTTCACCAAAGTAAGATTTTAGTAGTTCCTGGTGGATTTTATGTTTCTTCTAGTTTCTTTGTTTAACTTTGTACGATGGACCAAACCTTGCAACCTTTTTTTCTTGATGAGTTATTTACCGCGAAACTCCTTTTGGGCATGAATCATAACTTTTTTATATCTTTTTTGGCTAAGCGGGTTTTTCTTGACCAACAGATGTGTTGTTGTTGTCTTGTTGTTGGTGTTTATACATTATGTTATTCCTGGTTTTCTTGATCACTTTGTAGAATGATTATTGAATTTTCTCTTATTGACTTCAATTTTGCGCACATGGTATTTTATTTGTTGCTGCAGGCAGCCTCAAATTGTGATGTTGATGAGCTGGGGAGAATGTACATCAAAGTTCGGAAGTTTTTGGATCTGCAACTGGTTAGTATTTCATAACATTTATGTTTACTTTTTCAGGCCAAATATTCATGCAACCGTTGTATGCGATGTTGTTTCATGGAACATATTTTGAGTTTTGCTTACTTCATGGAAAAGCTTTTTTGTTTTATGAGGCTACATAAAATATCTCAAGGGAAGAGTTTTTATTATTTTTGTTTTGGTGAATTGTCTTCCCATAGTATGTTAGAATGAGCAATCTCCTTTTACACATGGCTTGCTTCATGTGAATTGGACAAATTTCACATCTATAGGCTACAACTCTATATAGTATATATGCATGCACATATTTATGTGTCTTTGTGTGTGCATGTGGACATGTGTGCGTTTATATACTATTATGGATATGCATTTGATAAATTCTTTATTTATTGTTTTTTTTTTCTAAACAAATCATGCAAAAATGCTGATTCTGTTTGTCTGCACTTTGTGCAACTAGATGTATCTTATTATTAGATTCCTTATATTAATTCTCAAAAATGCATTAAGAGTGAGGATCAGGGTCTTGGTGAAGGATGAAGAGGTCAACAGAAGCCGGAGTGTTTATTTTAAAAAATTGCTGAATGACGAACACAATGGGAACATATCGATAGGAGAAGCCGTTGGCATAAATGAGGGCGGAGGTCATAGATTCATTCAAAGCGTTAGGAAATCGGAAATGAAAGAAGCTTCGAAAAGGATGAAGATAGGAAAGGCCTTAGAACTAAATGATATCCCTATAGAGGTTTGGAAGTGCATAAGGAAGATTGGCATTGACTGGTGGACCAAGCTGTTCAAAAAGGTGTTGGGAACAAAAAAAATGAATGGAGGAAAAGTACTGTGGTACCTATTGACAAGAACAAATGAGATATACAAAATTATTGACAAGAACAAATGAGACATACAAAATTGTGCAAACTATTGAGGAATCAAACTTTGAAAAGGATTGGTCTTTCGTTTCGAGGTAAATAACTTATGATTCATGCCCCAAACAAGTTTCAAGGTAGATAACTCATCAAGAAAAAAAGTTTGCAAGGTTTGATCCTTCATAAAAAGTTAAACAAAGAAACTAGAAGAAACATAAAATCCACCAGGAACTACTAAAACCTTACTTTGATGAAAAAAAGTCGCAAGATACCAAGTACCATTTAAGAAATGACCAACTACATACCGCAATCTTTGTCATAGTGAAGGGTAACTTTTTCTGGCAGGCTACCACACAAACACAGGCACCAATAAGCATAGAAAACCATCTTCCCATACCCCATTCCCCGTCCGTGATACTTTCTACCATCTCTTTCACATCACGGACTCTTGCTTCTGATAGTCCAAGGACAAAACTGATTCCATCAAGAGCCTTTTTAGCATGAGCCTAACATAAGGTAAATAGCATCAAGATTTATACTAGGTTCAAGACTTAGACGGCCATTACTTCATAATCAATCAGGTAGTTATATCTGTAAACCAAGCCCAAAAACAATCATTTGAAACTACTAGGAAATCAATAAGGCAAAACCAGTAAACCTTATTGCCAAATAATGAGAATTCACTATTTTTAAAAGAATAAAGGAGAGATTTTCGGAGTAAAGTTACTACCTTAAATCCAAATAACCAAATGACAACTATCCATTGCAAGAAGAAAATAAAGTAATAATTCTTACCTTCTTTTGATCTTTGTAATTGTATATTCTCCTTTAATATGGATTCGACGATCATTAAATACAATGCTAAAATAAGTGAGGCAATTCACTAATGGTCCAAAGCTTCTCTGATTTTCTCCATAACCTTCGAAAGGTGACACAAAATTGGTACCATCATGCTCTAACCCACAAGAACTGCACACCAATGTCCCGGTGAAGGATCTTGCAGGATACTTTCTTTTCGACATTTTTGACAAAGGCGAGAATCCTCCATAATGGTTGAAGATATCAGCAATTACAGATGGTTTGGACAGATGCGTGATTGGTTACTGCAACATCTTGAGAAAAAAGTAAACATAGAAAAGAAGAGGTCAATTTAACAGTGATTTGAGCTTTTACATCTCTATCTTGCTTATGGGGTTATGAATCTCTACTTTAGCTCTTAGAAATAATGTTAGGTGAAAGGACAGTAATCTATGAGAAGCCCAGGCGCATAAGCGTATAAGTCAAAAGATTACATACCCATTGAATGAACAAATTTATTAAACTGAACTTAAATAACCTGGTATAAATCATATCTAGCGTGAAAATTACTTCAAAGGTGGAGACAGGTCAAAGCATTTTCTAAATTTTTCAGTGTCTTTTTTTTTTGCATTTTGCCAAGTCCTATTTCTTCTCTTTAATATTTTATTCTTTTTAAATCAAGATTCAGGTAAAACATAAGGAGAGAATAACATGATTTTTTATGGCAACATATTTTTTCAGTTTTTTTTTTTCCTTGCTCACTCATATTTCTTCTCTTATTTCTACTAACCCTGCAATTACAACAAACATGTCAGCCCCACCACCCTCCCTCCCTTCACCGACGCTCCCTCCATACCCAACTTATTTGCCCTTCCTCTGATTTACACTATGTTCAAACTTTCTTATTATGGTTTTCCTGTTATTCTCAATCCTTTTGTTCACAAATAGTTCCCCTGTTTGTTTTATACAGCTAAAAAGTAAAAAGCAATGGAACCCCAAAGCAACCTACGAAAACTAAGGGTGAAATATATTTATGGTTCTAATTTCTCAGATTATTTACCCCTACATGTTATTTTGATGTCGTAAGGTCATTCATTATGGGATAGCCAATCCATTTATATCATGAACTCCTGAAAGAAGCATATCCAGTAAATAAAATGAAGTTGGGATTATTTCTACAGTCATGATGAGCACAATTCAAGATATGATCCTAGTTATTGGAAAACACATAAAGGTCTCAAACTACAAATCAACCATTGTCTCAAGCCTCAAAGATTCACCTGAGTAAAGGGGCATCCACATTGACTAAAGCTATCAGAGAAGCCGATAACCTCCAACCATACAAATGAACTCAGTTCAGGAGGAGATATACACCAATATTTCAGCACTGTACCCACAGAGCACATGTTCAATCGGACCAGTCAAACTTGACCCATTCACTAGTCAGACCGGTCAAATTTTAAAATTAATTAAAAATAGAAAAACACAAATATGTTGGAATAAAAGGAGAATAGAAGGTCAAATACCCAAAAGAAAACCCCTTTACAAAACCATTAGATTACGAAACTAGCAATTGATGAATCAAGGCCTTGAAAACAAAAAATTTGTTTCCAAAGTTTAGACTCAATCAAAATAAGATTGTAAAGGTCCCTTGAATCACTCCCAAAAAATGGAGATCTAGTAGCTGGAAGCACATAAAATCCTATTTGCTAAATTTTGGGGTAGAGAGAGAGGTAATACAGATTCATAAAAATCCCTCTCTAAACCCTAGGTTTTAGACCCTCAAATCCCTTGGAGAAGGTGTTTTGGACCACAATACGGACCGCAATACCCCTAAACGTACACAAAAGGACAAAAGAATCCAGACAAATTACACCAAATAGCAAGAAAACATTAAAAAAATAAGTTCTGCCAGGAAACCCTGCAGCATCAGAACCGGCTGGTACAATCTACACTGGTTGACCTGCCGGCCCAAAGTATCGAGCTAGATATTCAACCAGATCCATTCAATTTGGTGGACAAACCAGTTCAGAACCCTAGGCTCCACCATAGTGGCCACTGATAATCCGATACAATCCTGATAACTCTGATAGATACTAATAGTTGCCTAATTTCAAATGCTTTAAGAGGAACATGAAAATACATGAGTGAGATTTTTCTCCCTACGCAGACTTTGATATAAAATAGGGCTATAAGAAAGGACCTCCCGAGAGAAAATAATCATGCGACGATGTATCTTTTTGCTGCCGCTGTATTATTAAACCAAAATCAGACATTGTAGGAAACAAAGACTTCAATCGACCCGGTACCTGAACTCTAGACCTAACCTGAGTCTGGTAAGGGTACAAAAACTATTATTTAAATAGTGTTATTATTAAATAATAACATTTAATATATAATATTTAATTTATATTTTCGTTATAATATAATATAATATAACAGATTTCTCAAGAATTTTCACAATATGAAATATTAAATTATTGAAGAAGTTCTTTTTCCCTATAAAGTTTAATTTTGCCTCACATTCCTCTTTCCGTATGTCATAAGATACAATAACATCATGTTTTGCAAAATCTTCGAATAAGCCATACCATACTATTCCAATACACAATGATGGATAATAGATAATTTCAACATCTATTGGACGCCATCTCCGCATTGATGAACTGAAGATTCAACCCTACTTCTCCTTTAAGAATCTTTCAGTTGCCACGATCTTGAAGTGGCGGGTCATGGGATCAAAATGAAAACCAATAAACAACCAATAACATTTCGGTGCTGGTGAGGGGACAAAGAAAAATTATGTGCGTTAGAGGATTTCCAACTGTAAATCTCATTGGTTTTTATTGTAACTCGAAACAAGCAAGGCTATTATTGATGGGAGGACGCCTCGATGCGCTTCCATGTTGAAACACAATATCTCTGTAGAAAGAAGTGTTCTCGGAGCAAAAATCACTGGAATATACCAAACCCCAAGCGCTGCATTTTGCTCTCTCTAAAGAAGAGAGAAAGATGGACGAAGGATGAGAGAGAGGCAAGGATGAAGGAATGACCAGTGAGAAGACATTCCCATGATTTGCTAACAGCTTTGAATCTGTATAATGGCTCTAATGGAAGAGCTTCAAAGATCTTCCATGAGGAAGAGAGGTGTGAGATGCTTTGGATTCTAAGTCGTCCATCTCTCTTGTCTATAATTTACCATTTGTAGAAACCCAAAAAAACTTCACAAGCTATTCCATCCAACTCTAACTCGTTTTTAGGCTTCAAAAATGCCATGGAGCAAGGTCATCCTTCTGGATTTATACATGGAAGTAGAGGAACCAGCCGTACAAAAGCGATCCCAAGCATTGGAAGGTCATTTTCTATTGAAGAGCTAATTGGATGAGGTTCTATAGGAACCAAGTTTTGTAATTTAAGCCAAAATCAGACTTTATAGGGAAAAAGAACTTCTCCAAGAATATAATATTTCATATTGTGAAAATTCTTGAGAATTTTGTTACATTATATTATAGTATAACTAAAATATATAATTATATTATTTAAACATAAATTAAATATTATTAAAATATTATATATTAAATATTATTTAAATAATAACACTATTTAAATAATAGTTTTTGGACCCTTACCAGACCCGGGTCGGGTCTAGACTTCAGGTACAGGGTCGATTGATGTCCTAGTTTCCTACAATGTCTGATTTTGGCTCAATAATACAGCGGCGACGAAAGATACATCGTCGCATGAATATTTTTTTCTCGGTAGGGCCTTTCTCGTCGCCCTATTTTATATCAGAGTCTGCGTAGAGAGAGAAATGTCACTCAACACAGCCCAAACTCTCTCTCCATCTCTTCCAAACCTTATTTTTAGTTTCTAAATCCACCTCTCTTCTCTCCATCTCTTTACAATCTCATCCCTATTCATAATTTTTCTCTGTGCAAAATTTTCAAAATGAACAATTCTTGATCTTTGATGCAAACAAAATGGGCCTTCTCACCTCAACAATTGACGAAATTCTACCCACAATGGCTCAACCACACTTCAGAAGAGGTAGACACGTACACCTTTCAGTCGTTCTTGATTATATGCAATCTTCTCTCTCTCTCTCTCTCTCTCTCTCTCTCTCTCTTTAATTTTTTTCCCACAAAAAAAATCTAGATAGAGTTAACTGAAACATATGAATGAAATTTCCAAACTGAACAATTCTTGATCTGTGTTTGGGCTGTGTTGAGTGAGATTTTTCTCTCTACACAGACTCAGATATAAAATAGGGCGATGAGAAAGGCCCTCCCGGGCAAAAAATAATCATGCAACGATGTATCTTTTTGTCGTCGCTGTATTATTAAGCCAAAATCAAATATTGTAGGAAAGCAGGACATCAATCGACTAGGTACCTGAAGTCCAGACCCGACCCGGGTCTGGTAAGAGTTCAAAAACTATTATTTAAATAGTGTTATTATTTAAATAATATTTAATATATAATATTTTAATAATATTTAATTTATATTTAAATAAATATAACTATATATTTTAGATAGAGTAATGATTCTGTAGGACCCTCCCCCACCCATGTGTGTAAGACCCCAATGGATCACCAGTAAAGTTGGCACGGATCTCTAAAAAAGTTATGACATGGGTATGGATTTCTATAGATTCGTGCCAAATTTAATGGTGATCCTTTGAGTCCTACACACATGGGTGGGGGACAGTCCTATAAGATCATTTCTCATTTTAGTTATAATATAATATAACAGATTTCTCAAGAATTTTCATAATATGAAATATTACATTCTTGGAGAAGTTTTTTTTCCCTATAAAGTCTGATTTTGGCTTAAATTACAAAACTTGGTTCCTAAAGAACCTTCCAATGCTTGGGATCGCTTTTGTACAGCTCGTGTTCTTCTTCTTCCATGTATAAAATCCAAACGGATGACCTTGCTCCATGGTCATTTTTTAAGCCTAAAAACAAGTTAGAGTTTGGATGGAATAGTTGGTGAAGTTCTTTTGGTTTTCTACAAATAGTAGATTATAGACGAGAGAGATGGAGGACTTGAATCCAAAGCATCTCACACCTTGCTCCCTCATGGAAGATCTTAAAATCTCTTCCATTAGAGCCATTATGCAAATTCAGAGCTCTTAGCAAATCATGGGAATGTCTTCTCGCTGGTCATTCCTTCATCCCTGCATGTCTCTCACCCTCCGTCTATCTTTCTCTGTTCTTCAGAGAGAGCAAGAGGCAGAGCTTGGGGTTTGGCATATTCTAGTGATTTTTTTGCTGAGAACACTTCTTTCCATAGAGATATTGTGTTTTAACATGGAAGCGCATTGAGGCATCCTCGCATCAGTAATAGCCTTGCTTGTTTCGAGTTACAATCAAAATCAATGATATTTGCAGTAGGAAACCCTCTAGCGCACAGAATTTTTCTTTGTCCCCTCACCAGCACCGAAATGTTAATGGTTGTCTATTGGTTTTCATTTCGATCCCATGACCCGCCACTTCAAGATCGTGGCAACTAAAAGATTGTTAAAGGAGAAGCAGGGTTGGATCTTCGATTCATCATTGTGGCGATTGCGTTCAATAGATGTTGAAATTATCTATTATCCATCATTGTGCATTGGAACAGTATGGTATGGCTTATTCGAAGATTCTGCAAGACATGATGTTATTGTATCTTATGACATTAGGAAAGAGGAATGGGAGGCAACATCAAACTTTATAGGGAAAAGAACTTCTCCAAAAATATCATATTTCATATTGTGAAAATTCTTGAGAAATTTGTTATATTATATTCGATTATAGCTAAAATATATAATTATATTTATTTAAATATATATTAAATATTATATATTTAAATAATTAAATATTATTAAAATATTATATAAAATATTATTTAACTAAAAGTTCTTGGACCCTTACCAGAGTCGAGGTTTGGACTTCAGGTACCAGATCGATTGATGTCCTGGATTCCTAAAATGTCTGATTTTGGCTTAATAATACAGCAGCGACAAAAAGATATATCGTCGCATGATTATTTTTCGCCCAGGAGGGCCTTTCTCGTCGCCCTATTTTATTAATTTGTAAAATATTGTTTTTTGGAATACAATATCAATTGAAAGTAAAGTACAATATTATTTTTCTGTAATAACTTGAGCACTACTTACATTCACCACTGATGCATCCATATCCCAACCCTAAAAATATGTCAATCATAATTCAAAAATATACATCATTCACAAGTTATGCACATAACATTTGTCTGTTCTCTCTTTCTCTCTATGTTCTCTCTCTTTCTATCTCTGCTCTCTCTCTCTCTAAAATTATAATGGCACACAACATTTATATGTTAATATGTTATCTATTAAGATATTTGTGATGCATGCCAAGCAACATTCACAATGCATGCATCCATATATAACCATGTACAAAACCAGCCCATTCAACAATCACTTGTAATAGTTTAAACATACATAATTGAAAATGCAAGCAGCCATTCAAACACACATACACAATGCAAGCAGTAAGAAATCAGCTCATTCAACAATAACCTGTAATAACTTGAGTACTACTTATATTCACCACTGATGCATCCATATCCCAACCTAAAAGACATACATCATTCACAATTAAAAAATATATGTCATTCACAAGTCATGCACACAACATTTGTGTGTTCTCTTTCTCTCTTTCTAAGATTATAATGGCACACAACATTTGTATGTTATCTGTTAAGACATTTGTGATGCATCAAGCAACATTCACAATTCATGCATCCATATATACCCATGTACAAAAGCAACCCATTCAACAATAACATGTAATAGTTTAACCATACATAATTGAAAATGCAAGCAGTAAGAAATCAGCCCATTCAAACACACATGCACAATGCAAGCAATAAGAAATCAGCCCATTCAACAATAACCTGTAATAATTTGAGCATTACTTACATGCACCACTAATGCATCCATATCCCAACCTAAAAAATGTACGTCACCCGCAATTCAAAAATATACGTCATTCACAAGCCATGCACACAACATTTGTGTGTTCTCTCTCTCTCTCTAAGATTATAACGGCACACAACATTTGTATGTTATCTGTTAAGATATTTGTGATGCATTCAAGCAACATTCACAATTCATGCATCCATATATAACCATGTACAAAACCAGGCCATTCAACAATAACCTGTAATAGTTTAAACTTACATAATTGAAAATGCCCGTGATAAAAAAATAAAAAAAAATTGTAATTCATGCACATCTTGTTTGCATAAAAAGATATAAACAAACGCACATCATAGGTGTATATCTTAGAAAAAATATATCAGATTTCATGAACCCATAAGCATTATTCATTAAAAAAAGAAAGGTAACAAAAAGAGCATGGTAGCTACAACATTCATAATTGGAACTAAGTAAAATTCAACAAACCCAAACATAAAAAATGAACAAAAAAATAATATTCCTATAGTTATCTACTCAATAAAAAAACTCCCACACCATATGCATTGAGAAACTCTTGTAGTTTTTCAAAAAACATAAAAAATAGCCACAAGTTGAATTCATTTGCTGCTTTTTCAGTATTTTTACCTCTTTGTTTTGTTAACACTTTGCTGAAGTCATTGTTGGAACGACTCAACAAAGCAAATTCCAAAAGCTGAAAAGCAAAAGAACGAGTATGATAAACTCCAACTAGAAAGGATCAAATAAAATAACCATAGATCAGTAACAAAAATATTAAATAAGAAGGAATTGAAATAACCAAAACGGCTCAAATAACCAAGAACCAAAAAACAAAAACCTCGTAGAAACCAATTAAAAATATATTAGGCTGCCATCTTCCTGAAACCAATCGTATATTCAATCTATTTATTTAGCCACTTTACAAGAATGAATAAGAAAAAAAAAAAACACGAAAGTGAACACCAAGAACCTCTAATCACCCAGTAAGATGCAATCATGCCAAGAAGGAACTCAAAATAACTCAGTAAGATGAAATCATGTCACTCATGCCAAGAACCTTTAATTTTAACACACATGCTGCAAATTAACTCAAAATATGCCAATAAGAAAAACATGAAATGCCTAACTCGAGTAAGATGCAATCTATTAACAAATTTCACAAGACCTAATCACTTTGCTTTACCCAATGTTTGATAATGGCGCTCAAGAGAAGGAACTCACCCCCTTGCAACTCAGAAAAATCTTAATCAACTCATCAAAGTCTCTGCTAAGTAACCCAATGAGCCAAATAAACACAAAAAAAAAGGACTCATGTTTTAGTACAAACTGTTTGAATAATCAGTTTGTAACTGAGCTCTATTTTTTTTGTAACTGAGCTCTGATCTATTGGGTTGTTGTGAAAAATCTGTAAAATCGCCAAATAAACACAAAAAAAAAAAAGAACTACAGATTTATTACAAACTGCTTGTAATGATCAGTTGTAACTGAGCTTCTATTTTTTGTAACTGTAGCTCTGATCTATT